GTTTCCCTTAGAAAGTCCTCCACGAAAGGCATCCCTCCCCTTAGGCAGATAGCCCTCGTGTGCTTTGCCATAATTAAATACACACACACACACACACACACACAAAGCTTTACGAACTTAAAAAGCGCTTTAGTGTACGCCATGAAATTCGATGCAGCCTAGCACGTAGCTCGTGGAGATCACCACCCAGTCAGAGCTGCTCAAGTCCAGGAACCAGTAGATCAAGTGATCACTCGTTTAGATGACTTATCCAGACAAATTAATGCTTTGATATAGAATAGGAGTGAGAACAAACTTAAGTTCCTTAAGTTCGCGCAAAATATGAAACAAGTAAAAAGCAATTTCAGAATTCAAAATTAGTGTTCAAAATGTGGAGTTGTACATGTCCGGAGAGAGGACCATGCGTGTTCAAAATCTGGTGACTGCATGCGGTTTTTCTCATTGCAGATATGCACACATACATACATGCATACATATCTATATACATACATACATGCATACATACAAATTCTTCATGATTTAATAACAGAGGGATAATAAAAAATTTTTATATAAAATATTTATGATGAAATAGAATATTGGCTATAGTGAATTATAAAGTACAGCCGCTTTTAAAAGCTGTAATATCTGCTGAATTATAAAAGATTATTATAGTTAACGTAAGATTTATGAAAAATAAAATAATTTGTTTCGGTGTTTCATTTGAGTATGTACTATACCTGCTGATATTTATAGTGTTATAAATTACAAACATATATTATACTTATAAATTATAAAATATACATAATAAAATTTTACTTATAATATTGTCTGGTCAAATTTGTTTAAAATTTGAAATGATCGATTATACGAAGTTTTTTCTTAGATCACATGATTTTTCTTAGATCGGTACAAATCTATTTATCAATTTATTGTTCAGCCAGACGGCTCTTGCTGTTTTTCCATATTACCAAATAAACCAAACCAAACTTTTTTATTGTTCGTTCTTTTCTGATGTTAAGATTATAACTTTTCAATTTTCCGATTCCTATTTCTTAATATTTCATTAAATATTCAGTTTTAACTTTATGCCAGAGCATTAATTCATGTTTTCTTTCTCATATGCATATTTATATTCGTTCTGTAATTATTAATTCTTTTCCTTTTACTTATAATGTAAAGTAATTATAGATATAAAAAGTTTATAGATATAAAAAGTTTCCTAAATATGTAAATAAATTATGTATGTATATTATTGTCTCTATGCCGAAGTCAGATATTGCATTTTGTATGATTTTCACTTACTTCACTTACTAGGTTATTTTCAATGTTTTGCAAAATACTAAAAGACAGACACGTATAAGCTGTAAAATTGATATAAGCATACATTTGGGAGACGTCATAACTAATGTTTCGGAAAATTAAATTCACTTTAAATGTTCAAACACGTTTTTCCTAAAGTAACGTTTTTTAAGATTCAGAAGGTAGATAGTCAAAGAAGAAGAAATTAGCTACGAAATTTCATACTTCTTCTTTTTCTTGCAGAACGGACAAAGATACAAACATAATATTGTAACTAAACATTTCGTTAAAAATTATAAGTAATATTTAAATAGGCCCACCAACGGCCAAGCGATTAAAGTCGCTGAACGCTGGTAGTGCAGTCGGGGGTTGGAGTCCCGGCGAACTGGCTGGCTGTATGGGCGTGTTCGCGTTATGCGTGGCGTGGATAAGAGCCAGTTTACCCTGAACACACCTTCACGGGGCATCTTTCCCTTTCGGTATAGTGTATATTTAATTACATATATATATATAATTAAATATACCTTTTTTAACTTATTACATGCTCCACCCTTAGGCACTATACGGAAAGGGAAAGTTAAATTAAATTATTTAAATTTAATTTAACTTTACTATTTATTCTTATATATATAATTATTAATTAATGTATTTAATTATATATATATACTATGGTTCCGGTGACAATTTTAACATAAATAAAGTGCAATGAAAAATGTAAACATTAAATAAACAATATTAACACTAGAATATTTTCAAATAGAATTCAAAACTAATTGTAAGTAATGTGCTGATCAAGGTAAGGCATACTTTTAACAATAGAATAAAAGTGTGACATAAGACTTAAACTAAGTGTTATGTCACACGTTTATTGTTAAAAGTATGCCTTATCTTGATCAGCACATTACTTACAATTAGTTTTGAATTTTATTTGTAAATATTCCAGTGTTAATATTGCTTATTTAATGTTTACATTTTTCACTGCTCTTTATTTTACTTATGTTAAAATTGTCACCGGAACCACAGTATCTAAGCTTCGTTTTAGCGTAATTACTAAGAATTTTATTTTAACTATTTTTCTAAATTTTGCAGCTTAATGCGCAAAGTTCTTGACCACAAAGGTCTTTTTTAGTTTGTGACTTTTCTTTAATTATATATATATATACATATATATACAGAGAGAAAGCATCATTATCATTATCATTATAAGGGCACAGTCCCGATCCTCCTAGCTGGCATAAGCCGGCCGCACGATAAATAAATGGGACTGGCCAAAAAAAAAAAAAAAAAAAAAAAAAAAAAAAAAAAAAAAAAAGTCCAAAATCTGAGTCTCAGTACCGAACTCCAATTCCTTTTTTGTTCGTATTTATAGTTTTCATTATTGTCTCTGCAAAATCTTTCAAATTTGAATAGTTCCTTTTAAAATCTTCCTAAAAATTATTTCTATATTTCTCTCTTGCCCTCTGGGTAAGCGTACATTCATCGACGAAGTGCCTTGCGTCCCCACACTTGTCACATATTAAGCATTTATCATTATTCTGTAGATGCAACCGATTAAAATAAGCCTGGAAACGCCCATGATTAGTCAGTACCTGATTTATATCAACATTATTTATAATATTCACCTTCTTGTTTAACTTTATATTTTTCATTAACTTTTTTTTCTTATTAGATGACTCCCAGCAAAAATTCCATTCTGCATAAATCCAGTTTTCCGATTCAGCAAGTCTTATTTCTTGAATCTTGGATATCAAAGTTATCGGTACCATCCCCAAGTGCCGCCATTTTAGCAAGGGTGTCTGCCATTTCATTTCCGAGAATTCCACTGTGTGTTTTCACCCAATGTAATTTAACAATATGTTTTTTTCTAGCCTTTTTAAACAAGTCTTATATTTCATTAATCAGTCGGTTTTTATGAGCTGGTTGAGCGAGTGGCTGTAGTCAGTATAAATATTTATAAAACATCGAACTGTTAATATTTTATTAATCCAATTCAAAGCCTCTGTCAATGCGCATAGTTCTGCTTAATAAACCGAATTCATTGGTTTAAGTTTTATTCTCACATTGTCTATCTCCACTACATGAAAATAAATTACCTCAGCGCTAGCCACTCACCTATCAATTTCAGAACCATATGTAAAAAAGTTTATTTCGCCCCCAAGAAGGAAAATCAAGATCATAACATAACCCAAATCGTGTCATTGAGTGAATAATATCCTCATTTCCTTGCTGAAAGGCCTTACTCGTCAGTACGTTTTGTCCAATTTCAGTATTTAAAATAATTTTATTAGCCAATAGAAACTTTTTGTAGTATAATTTGAGAGTATGCTATATGCGTGGTGTGCAAGGTAAAAATATAAAAATCAAAATTCTAATTTTAATTTGTAATAAACCCTTAATTCTCCATTTTAATCTGACCAGTTTATCTTTCTATCCTAAAAATAGTAACTGTCTTGAAAATTAAATCTCAAAATTTTATATAGTTAATCCAAGAACAGGCAGCGTTTCTTGCTAAGTTACTTATGGCTGCAAATATCAATAATAAAAAGGAACATTTAAATCAGCCATTGACTGTAACTACGTCTTTATGCTTCAATACGCCACCAATAGCTTATTTCAGCGTTTCCAAAATAAACTTCCAGTAACGAAGTTTGGCAAAGTAAAGCAAAAACCGTTATAGAAACTATTACAGCAATGGGAGTGAAGGATTCCATACATATAAAATCTATATTTTAGTACGATTCAGGGTTTAAAAGTTTAGTCAGCAGAATGCTCATATGATTTACTAAACTAAATACAATAACTTTCTTACAATTCAGTACAAAACTCAAGGATGCATAAAAGAATTTAACGACTTAAATCAGTTTTATTGCTTATTGTTAGGTGGTTGTATTCAAATATGATCACTTAAATAAAAAAATGTTGGTGAAACTATCAAAAAATGTTTGATTGGTTTTGAAGAATAATGGCTCCATAATGCTTAAAATGCCAATCATAATCAAATTTGTAATAGATAGTGTAAAACTATTATTTAGCACTATCTCGCTGAATTTCGTCCTTAAAAGTAATAAAGCTTCTTCATTTAAAATAAGAAACACGATAAACAGTATTTGAAGAAATAGAGCCAAAAGTCATCTTTTTCGAATAACTTACAATATTCACCTATCGGACATATACCCAAATTTAAAAATGGTTATTTTTATAGCTAGGTCCATGCTTTTCCTGTGAACATACGTTTAAAAAAATGCTTTTTATATCCATATATAGAAAATAATTATGCAGTATTTAAACATACATATTGAAAAAACAAAAACTGAAATGTGAATAATTTAAAAGAAATAATATGTATGAGTTTCATGCTCTTGTGTAATATATATAGTATATAAGTAGAATAATTTGCTATAGTAAGAAACGAGAGCTCTTCTAATTTTAAAATACCTTCACACATACTTGAAGTAAAATAAATGTGAATAACCTTTTATATGAATCTAAAACATTTCATAGACTTCTGCGTAATGACAAATGCAATATTGAATACATCTAAAAACCTGTTATCAAAAGTAAACCCGCAAGTAAAATTGAGCATTTTTATATATACTTTTGACATAAATTTTTATTTAGGTGTTTTGCTTTTAAACTACGCTTCAGAAGCCACAAATTGTACCAACTTTTCCACGCAGCTTGGCTGAAATTATCGCCTAAAATATTCAAGCCTCACTCACCTGGAGCCGTGGCAAAGATCACTGCTATCACTAGAAATAACATCCTGCGGATACAGTAGCCATACACAGCAACTTGTCCCTTTCGCTGTCCCACCGACAACTGAATTCAACGCAAACTACGTTCGCCGTCTGACACGCAGAGTTTCGCTTGGTTTCGGCTTCGAGAAGGCATTTGGCGCCACTATCACGCGGATGGATTTGTTTTTCTCCGACAGCGCGAGTTTTATCCACTAGGGGAGTCGTCGATCTATATCGCTAACCGAGTACTGACCATGCCATTGTTTATGATCATTTACTGCTTACATAAGGTGTTTTTAAACGTGGCAGGAGATACACTACATAAATATGTTCTAACATTATATATTTTATTTATATTTACGTTTCATGCCTACATAAGCAACTAACTTTCCTGCTTCATCATCCCCTTCATCATTGCTAGACTATTAGCATCCCCTACTTTTCCAAACTCGGAAAATACATACGCTTTTATGTAATTTTAGACTATTTTTAATGTGTTTTATGTTAAAGAGGAAAAAATAAAGAAAGTGTTGAGAAATACCAAACTTAAATAAAAGTAGTTTTTTTTATATTCATAAACTAAAATGAAATCCTGAGCAGGTAAATAAAAGGCTGACTGAATTCCCCCCCTCCTCCCTGAAACTATGAAATCTCCTCAGGGAAGAATTCTCCTTGAGTCAGAACTCCTCAACTGTTTAATCTATATCGGTTTTGGGCTTCCAACCTTTATCTCACAGCTAAGTGTGTAGGATCCTCATGAACTGATGAGCGAATAATTGCTTTAGTTTAGAAACAGAAACGTAAACTCAAGAAGGGTTAATTACCCTTCCTTTCTCAAAATAAGAATTTAACAGTCAGCTCCTTTTTCAGAACGTACATCAAAGCCTTCACTTGGGCATGAAATCAAAATAGAAAGAAATAAAACTTAACTAATGTTTAACTAAAAAGATATAGCCGAAGCAAGCTATCAAAATTCGAAGTAGTTGACCCCTAAATATTAATTAACTAGCGAAGCTATCAAGGGCCCGAAATACGGCCGAGCGTAGTAATAGCTTAGAGAGAGTGTAGCCAAATGCCAAACGTGCGCTAGTCAGAATTTCTGGCTCTCTAACGAAATCAGTGGAAATTCGACTTAAATACCGCTCTTACTCATTTGCATTAACCGGGATTCTAAAAACACATTCTGGTAGGAAATTGTAAGCTGAAATTAGGAGGGACAGGAAAGTAACTTTAACTAAAGATAACTGTTAAAAACTTAGAATAACCTTACAAGATACGCAAATAGATAGATAGACAGATAGATGCAGATTTACACAACTGTATCATAGCTTTCTCTATATTTATATCAATAGATAAGAATATGAATTTTGCATTTTTTTAGGTCCTTTCTGTTTTTTACTACCGATATAGGCAATGATTTAATCACTTTTATATACCTGCTTGCTTATATCAACTTTATGAACGCCTACCACATTTCTTATTTATCTTACTAGCAATATGTATATACACATACACAAAGGGTATCTGAGATAAATACAAATTGTAAAACAAATATCTTAAAAATGAACGGGAAAAAATTCATTTTCTCTCTCTGCATATCTGTATAAAAGGGAATAAAATCTAGATAAGAAGCTGTGCTAATAACAAATTTTGCCAGTAAATAACCCTGCTTTTAACATCAAAGGACTATGGGACTTCAAAGAAATTTGAATCACAAGTTTTTCGAAATATTCAATATTTGTAAAAATTACGAAATATAATTTTTTAAAGCCTGTCCGTATCCTTATATTCAAGGAATTTTATACGTCTTATAAAAAATAAAATGCAAAGAGTTTAACAAAGAGTCAACATTTTTATCAAAATAAATATTTCAGAATTCTGGAATTTTCTCCAGAAATATTCGTACAAGTGTTCACAGTATCAGACAGTATAATCAGTAGTTACGCTACAGACTATTAAAAACGAAATTCGCAACGCAATGCGAAGCGTATAAAAAGAGAAAGTTAATCAGATCTCAAACTGAACTCGCAACAATAACAACAGCAGCTAACTGAGAGTAGATGCTCTCTCTTCGGCCTTAAATAATTTTCAGACGTCACGAGATATTTCTAGTATTTTCTGCTTCTCAAAATTAGTGCAAAGCAATACGAGATTAGAATTATGGTTACAGCTAACAGAGTGGTCAACTTCAATACAAATTTTTTCAATTTCAATACAAATTACAGAGATAACCATTTACTCAATGATATATGCACGTGCCCCTCTATTCTTACTTTTCCAGCATAGCTTTCTCGTAAACATTTGTCTCGCGCTACATTACACAGAAAAATACAGCAATTTTAATTATATTTCTATTAAAATTACCCATCTGAATACAAATTGGTAACAGTATTCATATTTATATAACCAACGGTTACAAAAATAAAGGATATGTAAATTTTTATGGACACGATGGATATATATATATATATATATATACACACATATATATATATATATATATGCAAGTGTGCATCAGAAGTGCAGGGAGAAAAAATTATTCCTGGTATTTTTATATTATTACTATATATATATATATATATATGTGGTATGTATATATAATATATATATATATATATATATGTATGTATGTATGGTATGTATATATGCACACACGCACACGTACATATATATATATATATGTGTGTGTGTGTAAAATAAAAATCTGCAAATCAAAATTATAACTTAAACTATCGGTAACTCCTTAATTTCCCCTCTCTATTCTAAAATTCTTGATAACCTTTCTTGAATGCGTCATTTCTAGATCAATGCATCTTGCATGGCATACGCTGATGACGTAGCTAATTCGGAATTTGAACTCAAAATTTCGAGAACTGAGACCTATCTAACTTGAACAAAACCTTCTCGTGGTGAGTCTCCATACTGGATAACTGCGCATTTTATATTCAGCTATCTTACTGTGGGGTGCGTATTGCGCCCACGATCATGTGTGAGAAAAATATGTTTTCGATAATTATTTATATCCAACAATAAACATTCAGTTTGGCCACGTCTGTCTACAATTTTCTCCTTCGAGTACCATCTAACTACACAGTAAAGTCTCCCCAGGATATAACGCAGAGAACCATCGTCAGTATATTGCAGCTTACTCTTACTAATACATATATACGTATATACATAATGTAATGGCTCTTGAGTATATATGTAATAAAATTACTTTTATTGTAATGAAACTGTTCCATTAGATGTAAAAATATCGCGTTATTATTAAAATATGATGACTTGGTGGAGAGTTGCAACGGACTGGCGTGGGAGAGGCCTACGTCTTAACTTGAAGACTTTGTTGCAGAGTTAGAACGATGAATGCATAAACCAAAAAACTTTCAGACATGGTTTAAAGTGTACAAATCATTTTATCTCTGAAAGGTAATGCACATTATCACTGTGGGCGCGCTATGCACCCCACAAGTTTCTACAGCTAACATTTAAATCAATGGAAGAATTTAGAAAAGTAAAACTTTGCGTAGCTAGCAACACAGCGGAAAGCAGCAAAAGAGACGAGCGAAGAGAAGAAGAGGGTTTTGGTACGTAATTTACCCTTTTTATAAAGAATTCTATTTCATATCACGTGACTCTTTAATGTACAGGATTTTGGATTCTGATTTCATCGGCAAATGTGCATCAGAAGTGCAGGGAGAAAAAATTATTCCTGGTATTTTTAGAATGAAACGGAAGTTAAAGGGCTATTAATTTATTATTTGAAAGCTATATTTTATATTTTACATATTAGATATTTTATATTTTATATAAATTTTACATAAAGAGTATATTGATATTAGATATTTTATATTTTACATAATTGTTTATATTTTTACATAATTACATAATTACATTACATAATTACATTACGTTTTACATAATTACATTATTGTTACATAATATATTTACCAATTGTTTACGAGGAATTATTTTAATGTGCCTGAAATAAAGATGATAATTTGCTGAACTGGGTGTCGTATCAACTTCCGCACGACTGCCAGTTTTTAAAATACCCGGTTTCCACCTACGCATTCAAATCATTACATATATATAAATTTATGTGTGTGTACATATATATAAATATATATATATAAAGAGGGATTGCAGGCTTATTAAGAGCACTCTGTAGTTATAATTAAAATGCGGATTGATTGGAAAATGTTTAGAGAGACAATTCAAAAAATGCGTTGAAAGATTCCGAAAAAAAAAAAAGAGTAACTTTTAACTAGGGGAAAACTTTAGCTAGGGTTAAAAAGCTTAGCTAGGGGGCGTCTTACAGACAAAATGCTTGAAATGGTGTGCAATAAATAACTGTTGGGTGTTTTAACATTTTTGAGATCACTGGGTAATATTCCTTCAATTACGATGATTATTAGCTTGCCAGAACGTGAGTCAATCGTGAAATTGATTTACAAAAACTAGGGAATTGTTGTAGAAGCTCTTCATGAAGCTCTTCGTGAAGAAGTTGTACCATGCCTTCGTGAATATCACGGATAACAAAACATTCCTCAGCATTAAAAGTTTTAAAGTCTCTACTTGCAGCATAAATGTGGTACCAATTTTCTACTTGTTGCCAGGTTTTATTGATAAGAGCTAAGCAACGGTAAATATTAAAATGCTGTTACTAGAAATCCTTCAGACGGTGATCAGGATAGAGGGTGTCAGAGTTTATAACCTCAAAGTAGTTAACCAAATTGGAATTGTTTGTGCTTTAACTTAATCTCTGTCCTAAGGGTGGGCGAATTATTACTCTTGTTCTGTTTAATTATTGAAGCTCAAGATAAGACTCAAGTTAATGCTAACGCAGAGCTATATTAGGCAAGACTTGTGGTAAAACAACTAAAAATAGAAGAACTTTAAATTTTGCCACTTCCACTCGTCGACTGTTACAACAGCAATTTGATGGTAAGCTCAAGTTACAACGTGATTGCAGAAAAAAAAAAAAAAAAAAAAAAAAAAAAAAAAAAACTACTCAGCCTTTTGAGTCGGATAAGAATTAGCTAATATTTTAACACTTACTGGATGTTGCTAACCGTTTTAAATAACTGAAACGTTGACAGCAGTGTCCTTGAGTAAAAT